GCATAGCGAGACCCTGTCTCAAAAAGACAGAAAAAAAAAAAAAAATACCCAGTGAAGCTAATTTTCCTGTTGGTTGCCGCAGTGCCTCCCATTGCTTTAGTGTCACCGCCAGAGGAATGGGAGAGGTCAGCTTCGGGCCATTACTTCGCCGTTCTGGTTCCGCTTTCCTTTCAGGTATTTTAGGACCGTCAGCGTCTGTCCTGAAGCAAACAAAAGCCAGCTTTCATTTCTCACCTTAACGTTTCATAAGCTACATTCGTTTTTACTCTATTGATATTTACAGAAGAAGGCTTGACAAAGTCCGTTGCTCAGAGTGCAGCAGCTGCGGCTTGCGGCGAGCTCGCGGTCCCTCGAAGGCGTCGCAGGTGTCCCGCTGGGTGGGACGGTTCTAACCCCAGGCCGGGGGAGGCCTCCCTCGTCTGCTTGTCCTGGATAAGCAGAGGAGGCAGAAGGGTGCGCCAGATGGACAAAACGGGGTTAAGGTATCAAAATAGAGCTGTGCTTTTCACGGAGACCAAGCTAGAGCCGAGCGGCTGGCGCGGAGCCGGTGCAGGCTGCGGGGAAGCGAGTCGTGGGGCGGCGATCGCGACCTCAGGCGGCCCTGCCCCGCCCCCGCCACTTTCCTCCTCCGGGAGCCGGAAAGGGCGCCCCACCCTCACCCCCTTCGCCTTTCCTTCCTACTCCCTGGAACCCAGGGCTCCCACCGGCTAGGGTTGAGCCATACTTTCAGCCAAGTCATTTAGTTAATTATTTTATTTTGACACAGCGTCTCATTATGTAGTCTAGGCTGACCTCTGACTTTTTTTCTTTTTTATTTGTTTGGGTTTTTTTCTTCTTTTAGTTTTTTCTAACTTTTTTTTTTTTGGTCTTTTTGAGGCAGGCTCTCGCTATGCAGTTCAGGCTGGCCTTGAGCCCACTTTGTAGCCCAGTCTGGTCTTGAACTCACAGCGATCCTCCTGCCTCAGCCTCTGGAGTGCTGGGGTTACAGGCGTCGCCACCACGCCCGGCTAACTTTTCTTTCTTTTTTTTTGAGACAGGTTCTCCCTATGTAGTTCAGGCTGGCACCTTGAACTCAGTGATCATCCTGCCTCAGCCTTCCGTGTGTTAGGGTTACAGGTGTGCACCACCAAGCCTGCTTCCCTCTTGAATTTTAAATATAAGGCTGCTAACTCTCCTAGTAATGTGAATAGATCGCAGTATAGTCAGTGGTGAAATGTGGTTTTTATCATTCACCTTCCTCTTCATTTAGAATCAGGATGAAATTTTATTTGAAATGGCTGAAACAAATAACAAATGAAACAAGAAGAGAGAGGATCGTGGTCCTGGGTGTGCCTCACCACATTGCCTGCACTTCCCATGCTAAGACAGCGGCTTTATGGAAGCCTCGAACCGGGGTCTACACAGTCCTCAGGATGCTGGGTTGGGGTCCCTGGAGGCGTCATTTCCAGATGCTTCAGAGAGTGACTTCAGAATAGTAGAGCGGGCCGTGTGTCTCCAGTCATCACGGGTGATGAACACAAGAAGTGAAAAATTCAATGGGCCTTTCCCTTTGTGCACAAAAGTTCCTGGATCTGCAGAGGTTGAGAGTTCCTTCCAGTGTCCACAGCCAGACCCAGGGATGGCCATAGAGTGAGGTGTGGTGTGGCCATCAGGTGCCTCTGTCCCTCGGTGCTGCTGTGCACTTTCATGGTGTCCAAGCCACCTGCTGGGGCTGCTTTTGTCATCATTCAGGGACCTTCTGTAGACCTAGAGGTGGTAGCACACTCCTGTAATCCCAGCCCTTGGGAGGCTGAGGCAGGAGGATTGACAGAAGTTTGGAGGCCAGTCTGGACTACTTAGTGAGTTCAAGGCCAGCCTGAACTACATAATGAGTCCCTATCTCGAGAAAGGAAGGAAGGAAGAAAGAAAGAAAGAAAGAAGTTGCAGTAGTGTGTTTTTGTTTTGTTTTGTTTTGTTTTTGAGATAGGGTCTCACTAGGCTGTTCAGGCTGGCCTTGAACTCACTTTGTAGCCCAGGCTGATCTCGAACTTGCAGTGATCCTCCTACCTCGGCCTCTACAGTGCTGGGATCACAGTTGTGCACCACCACGTCCGTCTGGCAGTAGATTAATTAAAGGCTACAAATGTCACCATTCAGCATCGCGTCTCTGCCTTTGGCACCTCCCATTGAGGAAAAGGTGGTTGCTGTGGAAAGACCCGTGGGACTGAGGAGAGCAGGGGTCCAACTGCAGCCCGCCAGCCACATGTGGCCCTAGGCAGGCGGCAGTGTGGCCCCATAAGACGATAAACTTGGTGTTATTATGTGATCTTAGCGATGTTTCTTGTGGCTCTCCTGCATGGTGATCGGGTGCAGAAGGTGCGGGCAGCAACAACGGAAGAGAAGGCAGGTATGGGAGGGTGCCACGCAGCGGGAGCGCCACCTCCCGCCCGCCACACACAGGTGCGCAGCAGAGGGCGGCCGCCCTGCCCGCGTTTGTAGTGTGTGCGCCTCTGCAGACAGGCGCCTGTTGCCACTGTGCACACGTGCGCTTTCTCATCACATTACTATATTTTGCCTTTCTGTGGTATCTTGTGAAATAATTTGTCAATTGACAGTCCAGCTGGGCGTGGTGGCGCATGCCTGTAATCTCAGCACGTTGGGAGGCTGAGGCAAGAGGATTGAGAGTTTGAGTCTAGCCTGGACAGTGTAGTGATTTAGTGAGACCCTATCTCAGAAACTAAAATGGGCTGGCGATGCAGGTCAATTTAAAGGCTCTGGTTTGAAACCCCAGTACCAAGGGAAAAAAAATTCATACTAATAGAATTATAATATAAACATAAAGGAAGTCTGGTTACTTAGCTCCATGCACTACATTTAAGTACATCATATATTGTACGTTATATATTTAAGTGTATCATATAGGGCAGGGGATATAGCTCAGTGGCATAAGCGCCTGCCTGGCAAGGGCAAGGTTGTGAGTTCGATCCCCGGTACCGCAAAAAAAAAAAAAAAAAAATAGTATGTCATATATTGTATGTGTGTTGCTCAAGGCTGGACGCGCATGATCTGCAGAGTGGGCCGCGCAGAGCAAGTGGCCCAGGACTGGTGACTCGGCACAGAGAGCTGGGCTGGGCTGCGGCTCCGCAGCAGGGCACTTGCTTAGGATGCACAAGGGGTCGGGCTGCACCCCAGCACTGCAGCACAAAACCACCCCCACCAGGTCCGCCAGATGAATTGGCAGACAATGGTGAACAACAGTGAAGTATCGTTTTGGGTGACTGGCTTTTGACTGGCTTGTTGCACAGCATGGGCTAAATGAAACATAAGCTCAGTTTAGCAGTGCAAACTGAAACGAGCTTGGGATATAGCTCAGGGACAGCGCATTTGCCTAGTGTGCACGGGGCTCTGGATTCCACCCCCAGGACAATAAATAATAATAATGAATAAAGTTAAAAATAAAACTAAAGCCGACGTGGTGGCGCACGCCTGTAATCCCAACACTTGGGAGCCTGAGGCAGGAGGATCATTGCGAGTTCGAGGCCAGCCTGGGCTACCAAGTGAGCTCAAGGCCAGCCTAAAGTGCATAGGGACACCCTGTCTCAAAAAGATACAAACAAAAATAAAACTAAAAAGAAAAGCTAGACATAGTGGCTCATGCCTGTGATCCTAACACTTAGGAGGCTGAGGCACGATAATAAAATGTCTGGGTCCCACCGGGGCAATTTAGTGATAACCCACCTCGAAGTGCAGAAAAGGCTCAGTGTGGTTCGCGGAAGCTGGGAGGAGTTTACTCGGATCAGCCGACCCCAGCTGACCACAGGAAAGGAGGCAGCCTGGGGCGCGGGAGCAGAGGAGGGGTGCAGACAGAGATGAGGATGAGGTGGGGCCCTGTGGGCACATTGTTTGCTTGGCCTAGAGGGAGTGAGGTGTTGCTTTGAAAGTGGATTTCCTATTTTTTCACAACTGGGACAAATTCTGATTTTTGTTTCTGTTGGGTGCTGGTTGGGCACGCCTTTGGTTAGGGTGTCAGTAAGGCACCCCGGTTACACCCTCGTCTTCTGGTTTATCTAAGAATAGGAGGGGTCTAGGGGAGGAGTGGACATTTGCGAACAAGACTTTCCACTTTGTCAGGCATTGGGGTGGGGACCAAGGCAGGGGAAAGCAGGAATGTCACTATACAGACGCCCAGAGCCCCTTTCCTCCCCCAGCTGTCTTTTTCTCCCCTTTGTTTATGAAGTTATTTTTGTTTTTGTTTTTTGTCTTTTTGAGACAGGGTCTCTCTATGAAGTTCAGGCTGGCCTTGAGCTCACTTTGTAGCCCAGGCTGGTCTCGAACTTGCAATGATCCTCCTGCCTCAGCCTCCTGAGTGCTGGGATTACAGGCGTGCGCCACCACTCCCAGCTACACTGGTAATAGTTTTTTTTTTATTTTTATTTTTTTACATTGGTAGTTATTGAAGCTCAAGATTTTTTATCTACTCATTGACTTTTTTGTTTGTTTGGTTTTTGGGTTTATTTATTTTTTGAGACAGGGTCTCACTTTGCAGTTTAGGCTGACCTTGAACTCTCAGCTATCCTGCCTTGGCTTTCTGAGAGCTAGGATTGCAGGCCTGCACTACCAAGCCCAACTTTACTGACTTTTGCATGTTTGAAATGTTTCATAATAATGCGTTAAGGGCTGGAGATTTAGCTCAGCGGCACAGCGTCTGCCTGGCAAGCGCAACGTCGTGAGTTTGATTCCCGGTACTAGAAAAAAAAAATGCGTTAAATTGCCCACCGCGGTAGTGGACACCTGTAATCCCAGCACTCTGGGATGCTGAGGTAGGAGGATCGCTGAGTTTGAGGGCAGTGTTGTTGTATATTGAGACCCTGTCTCAAAAAACAAACACAGGGCTGGGGATATAGCTCAGTGGCATAAGTGCCTGCCTGGCAAGCGCAAGGTCGTGAGTTCTATCCCCGGTACCACAAAAAAAAAAAACCACACACACACAAAAAAAAAAACCACAGAAAAAAGTTCAACAAAAGTGGGGTGGTGATGGAAAGATTTCATTAGAAAATCTTCAAACTTCATACTTCACTTGATAACACTTTCTCGAATTGTTTGTATTTAATTTTCTGTATATGATAACATACACAGAAAATGAAATACATTTCCCCCACCAGGCCGCACTCTCACTCCCCAAATCTTCACCTCAGCCCAGAGTGCCTAGAAAAGTACTTTCCTGCAGGTCACCGGCGGGTACCGTGAAGGGGCCTGGCCTGACCCTCTTTGCTGCGCCGGCTCCGAAGGCAGCTGGCGCCCCCACCAGCCGGTCTCCCGCAGGGCAGCCCGCTGCCTCTCTGTCTTCTGCACGTAATGAATAAACGAGGACTGCAGCAGCGAGGAAAGGAGGCAGCAGAGGGCGCGCAGCCTCTGGGTTGCGGTTGGGCAGCGAGCGATGGAGGGAGGCCGCTGCGGGTGTAAGGGCCCGGCCGCGCCCCAAACCCCCCGCAAAGCGGCCAAGGGCGATCGCGATCAGGCGCGGAAAGCTCCTGCCTGCGGCGACCCTGACCTCCCTGGCCAGACACACAGCTCCTGGGACCCCGCACCCCGCACAGCCACCTCCCTGCTGCCTGGTCACCGGGCCT